TGCTGGCACTTGGACGCTGCCTGCTTCCCTTTGCACGAGTTACCACGCCCTGAATAAGACCCAGAAAAGCAGTCGACTAAGAGTTTGCAAAGCTGATTTGCATACGATTTGCACAGAGTGTTTATCAGAACCCAAAGAGGTCTGCTCTTGCAGAGGGCGCAAGATCCCTCAGGCCAAGATACACTGTGCCGGTTTGACCTAGAGACAGTGGCCTTCAACTCTGAGCCACCTCAGCGCCCAAGGGAGGGAACAGGGACTGGGCTGCAGGGACTGGAGTGGTTTTAGGGTAAAGCCATCGCTAAATCCATCCACCGAAGCTCCCGGACCCCCTACCCAACCCCCGTCAGCAAAGTCAAGGTGCTCCATTTCACTGTGGCTAGAATGCCACTTTTGGGGGGGCACTCGGTGCCCCCTTCCCTCCTCGGAGTCCTTAGGTGAGGTGCAGGGAGAACCCAGGAGGACACAGCTACCAAAGGGAGGGAGGGAGCGAGGGAGAGTGGAAGGAAGGAGGAACAGCGGCGGATGCGGCCAAAGGGACGTGGAGAGGCGGGCAGGGGGCACGGGTTCCCTCCCTCAGCCCCCTCCGGAGGTCACTGGGGGAGAGCAGCGGGCCCTGGGCCAGCGGCCAGGTCTTTTCGAGCTCCCCCACGACCTTCGGGGTCCCCGTAGGGAACTGGGCCGGGAGCGCCCAGCGCCCTCTCACCTTTGACTTGCGCCTCATGGTCCGCCTGCGGCCCTCGCTCCCGGCGCAGCTTCCCGTGCGTGGCCATGGCCGCCGGGCGGCCGCGCCGTCGAGCTCCGTTGCTCCCACGCGGCCGCGAGCGGGCCGGGCGTTGGGACCGGAGGCCCCCGCAGCCAGCAGCCTGCGCCGGCCCCGCCCCGCCCCGCCCCCAGCGCGGCTCCCGGGGCGGGGCGGGGGCGGCCGGCGCGGCCCGGCAGCAGTGTCTGGGGTGGGGGGGGGGGGGGGGGGGGGGGGGGGGGGTGTGGGTGTGGGCGCGCGCGCGCGCCCACTGGGGCCGGGCCTTGCCGTCGCCTCGCCCCAGTCACTGGGCGCGCACCCGGGCAGCCTTGTGCCCAAGGTTCGGCTGCTAGGGCCGGTGTGGGAGCCCCAAGGTGCCTGGCAAGCTGGCATCCTCTGGCTGCCATTCCCCCCCAGCCTCCAGAAGGCTGTCTGGTCACCACTGCCTGACTGCACATCGTGGCCATTGGCCCTGAATGCCAGTGCGCAGTGACACCATAGCTGCTCCAGACCCCGGGCTCCCTTGGGTCACCTGCCTCCCCCAGATCCCCAGGACATCAGATGGGGCCCACCCTTCCCAAGCACAAGGAGCCTGGAGAGGCAGGTGGGAAGGGAGGTCAGCACCAGAGAACAGAACGTGCCTTCACTCCCTCCAGGCCCCCTCATGGGGAGGGGGTGGGGGCGGAGGTCAGAGAGCAGGCTTGGGCTAAGGTTCCCCTTCTGCTCAGCCCTGTGGGGAGGAACAAGCCTTGTTGCCCCATAGGTGGTTACCACTTCCTGCTGCCGGAAGAGACTCTTCTGCCTCCTTTCCCCGGCAGCTTGCACCTGCTGTCCTAGGCCCAGGGGACTGGGGAGGGGCAGCCTTCTTCCCTCACTCTCAGAGTAAGGCCTTACTGAGCCTGGGGGCGTCTTGGGGCCTTTCTTAGACAGGAGTGCTGGAGTTTCCCTTCACCCCTCTCTACCAACTCGAAGTCACAGGCCCGGCCGACAGGTTTTTCTCCAGTATACTGAGAAGGCAGGATGCAGTTGGGTGGGAGGGAAATCCCTGGGGTATAGATGGTGGGGACGGGGGCGAAGGCAGTTAGGCTCTGGGCTCGTGCCCACGGGAGGCGGGCCTGTAGGCGCTAGTGCAAGGGGTCTGGGCATGTGTGTGCGTGGATGTCCAAGTCAGGCTCTGTGCAAATGTGGGCACACGTGACCCGGACCTGCAGCTCTGGGAGGGAGGGGAGTCCGCGCAGGTACTTCCTGGCTTTCAACTGTGAGCATCTCGCTCACCCATAAGGGGAAAACATACCTCCTCAGTTCCCTGCCCCCCACCCCCAGTACCAGGCCCTTCTCGAAGGTGCAGTGTGTGCACGGGGCACTGGGGCTTTTCGGCCTGGGAGCAGGCCAGACCCCAGCAGGAAGGCATGCCCCTCATCGGCTAAACCCAGCACAACACACCGTGCCCCCTACCCTCTATCTGAGCCCTGACTGGTCGCCCAAAGTTCCTCCCCCATTCGGCAGAGCCAGGCACAGGGCTCAAGCCTGCAGGAAACTGCGGCTGAACTGGTGTCGGCGTCTACTTTCAAATGCTCTCCTTCGTCGTTTTACTTTAGGACTCCAGAAATGCTCACGTGAAGCCCCATTCAGCCACTGGTGTCAAAACTCGAGTAACTAGCCCTGGCTTTTAGGACGCTTCTTTGGCATTTAAGGCCGAACTGCTTGCTCTGTCCTCAGCTCTATTGTTCCCCTTCAAAGAATCTAAATGGTGCAGAAGGGCAGGATCAGATCTGCGGGACCTTGCTAAGCCTGTTGACAAGTGGAGTGAACACTTGGTCCTGAGGGGTGACCGCAGGGCTGACGTGGTCAGGTCTGCTGGGTGAAGGATGGACCAGAGGGAGAAGAGATCAATGGGGAGGTTGTTAACAGATGTCCACGTCAGATAAGAGCATGAATTGGACAGTGAGGCCACTCCCATTTTCCCACAAATGAGCTTTCCAGGAGAAGTTTCACAACGGGGGTCCAGGTTGTGCACCTCTGTGTATAGGTTCATCCCCTGGGGAGACGTCCCCAGAGCCCACCCCCAGTCACACGGCTAGGGAACAGGAGTTCCTGCTTTTCCCACCCTCAGCCTTCCAGCCTCTGTTCGGCACCTAGCTACTGAAGCGGCCCCTCCCAGAGGCGGGTCCTGCAGAGAAGGAGAAAGTGCTGGGCCCCAAGGGTCAGTCGGGCCTGCGGCTTCCCCTCTCTGCCCTCCGCCCTCGCCTCAGCTCCCGCCTCCGCCCAGAAAACCCAACCGCCTGGGGGCGGCCGAGCGTCAACGGGCCCTCCTGGGACGCTGGACGCGGAGAGCAGAGGGCGGGCCAGACGAGGGAGGAAGGAGTGTGCCGCAAGGCACCGTGGGAGCCTCCGCGGGCTCCCTCCCGCCAGCGCTGGGGCGCGGCCGATGTAGCGCGCATGCTCTCCCCCTTGCCCGCCCCGCCCGCCCCGCCCGCCCCCGCCCGCCGCGCGGAGCCCAGCCCCGCCGCCGCCGTACCAATCAGAGCCTGGGAACGAAGCCCGGCGCGGCTTGCGAACCGAAAGGGACTGAAGCCAGGCGCGGAGGGCGGGGCGAGGCTCCGCCTCCGACAGCAAGCGCGGGATTTGAGCCAATCAGAACACAGCCTCCCTCCCCCCGCCAGCCCGCGAGTTAGCGGGCGCGCGCAGGCGCATCTTCCTATTTCCGGCCCGCTCACTAGCGTACCGGGCTGCTAGTTGGTCACGTGGCAGGCGCCAGCCAGAGAGCGGATGGAGCTCCGTAGCAAATCATTCTGCGTAGCAGAGGAGCAGTGTGCCGTCTGCGGCAGCAGGCGCGCAAGGTACAGTGACAGCTAAGGAGTGCTGAGCTCCGCTGGGAGGTGGGCGGCCCAGGCGGCCCGCCCAGGGATGAGGAGCAGCAAACAATGGCGCTGCAGCCAGAGGGAATGGCAGTGATGAAAGGCACAGGAGCCAATTTTAGGGTTAGAATTGAAGCTATGAAAAACAGAGGGCTTACAGGCTGCATGAAATGACATTATGCATTCGTCAAAACTCACGGGAGTGTACAACGCAGAGGGAAATGTAACTGTGGACTGTAGTTAACAATTATCAATCTTGGCTCAAACACATGTTAACACTTGATAGAAAATATTAATAGGTGAGGCTTCCCGGGTGGCGCAGTGGTTGAGAGTCCGCCTGCCGATGCCGGGGACACGGGTTCGTGTCCCGGTCCGGGAAGATCCCGCGTGCCGCGGAGCGGCTGGGCCCGTGAGCCATGGCCGCTGAGCCTGCGCGTCCGGAGCCTGTGCTCCACAACGGGAGAGGCCACAGCAGTGAGAGGCCCGCGTACCGCAAAAAAAAAAATTAATAGGGGAAACTGAGGGGGACGGGGGGCGGTCCACGGGAACTCTGTACTATCTGCTCACTTCTGTAAATGTAAAACCATGCTAGAAAGCAAGCCCACCGATTATTTTCAAATGAAGGCTCGGGTTAGGAAGTAGATTCAAGGGGTATCATGGTGATCGAACAGACAGGACTCGCTTTTGGTTTGCAGGGGAGGGAGGAATCAAGGACAGTTGCCAGGGCTCGAGCAACTGGGTAGCTGGTTGGGCCATTACCGAGATCAGACATTGGTAGAGAAGCTCAGCGAGCAGTTGGACTCAGGCATCTGGAACCTAGCAAGGCAGCGGCAGAGCAGGGCTCGGAAGAGGCTCCCAGAACTCCAGGGTTCCCTTCCCCCGGGACCCAAAGATGGCTCCAAGCTATCAGACATCTCCAAAGCCCCGACAAAGCTCTTCCCTTCTACTCGGGCTCGGCAGGAAGCACTGTGCCAAAAGGATGTGAGGTCCACATCCACAGGGATGCAGAAGAGCCAGAGAGGGGCATACACACACCCCCAAAAATGTGCACGCTCGCACAGGTAAACTCCCCAAGGCCACTGGGTGAAGTTTATTGTGAAACCTCTCGGGGTGAGGATGGGATGGGCAGGCCAGGGCAGGGAGAGAAGCATGTGCAGGCTCTAGGAGGCTGAGTCAGAGGCCTCTGAGCTGTCCTTGACATCGGTGCTCTCTGTGGTCTCGCTGACCTCACTGAGGTCTTTGCTGTCTCCACCGCTGTCCTCCGCAGCCAGGCCCTTTTCCTCACGACAGGCCTCTCCCGAGCTCGGAAGCGAGTTGCCCTTGCCCTCCACCTTGTTCTCGATGGAGCCCAGCACCACGTGCCTGGCCTTCTCCTTCAGCTCCAGGTGCCGCCTCAGCTGCCACCAGGAGCCCGGGGAGAAACGGGAGTAAGGAGACAGCACCTAAGTCTCTAGACCACGAAGGCCCTCTCCTGCTGCCCGTGCCTTGTCCCTTGCTGGCGGCGGGGGGCAGGATGAGAGGCAGCAGAGCCAGGGCAGGAAACAGGACTGAGTCCGACTCCCAGCGGGGAGCCCTGGCACTGTCCCCTCTGGGCCTGTTTCCTGTCCTGTAAAGTGGAGGTGCTTACGGCTCCCTCACGAGGCTGCCGTGGAGCCCTCTGAAAGGCCCGGGCCCCCGAGGAGCCTTGGGCAGAACCCTGACTTCTCTTCAGCCCGGTTTTGTCTGGCCCCTGAGCCTTGGAGGCCAGCCACAGCCGTCCCCAGGCCCCGCGTCTCTCAGCACGTCCAGGGGCCTCCTCCCTCTCCTCTCACAGCAGCCTCTGGGCAGGACGGGCTTCTTCCTCGGAGAATGGAATCTTGGGCCGATGGCCTTCATTAAAGCCCTGCCGAGGTCCGGCTCCCCGCCTGCCAGCTACGGAAGCTGAGGTGAGGAGGGCCAGGACTCCCGGCCACGCAGCCTCCAACTGTCCCAGGCCGCCCCTGCTCACCCTGCCTGGGGACTGCGGCCCTGGCCCCGCAGGACTCTTACCTGCAGGGCTCTTACCTCATCGGCCATCTGGGTGAGATCCCGCTTCATCGCGTATGCGTCTTCGCCATCTGCATAGTATTTGGGCTCCACTTCGCTGATCCTGGGGGCAGCAGGTGGAGAGAAGGAGGGCAACCCAAATCGGGGGCAATTCTCCTCAGCCTTCTGGCATCGTCTGCTAGTGGGGCAGGGTGTCATTGCCCCCCAGGACCCTTTGGGAGACATTTCCAACATGGTCTTCCCTCTGCTTTCTCCAACAGTAAGTAGCACCCAGCTCCTTTATTCCCCCCCACCCCTGGCATCCTGCCACTGCCCCTCGTCCCTAACCTGGCCACCAAGGATCTGTGTCTGTGGTTTCCTGTGAACTGAAGCCCTGAATTTGGCAGTCCCCTCCCCTCCCCTCCCCGCCCTGCTCCCTGTCACTTCCTGGGCATGCATGGCTGGCTCGTATGCCTAACAATTGGAACCGGGGAGGGGTGCTGCGGCCTGGGCCTCTGTTCTTGGTGGTCGTTACCAGGCAGCGTGGCCCCTAGCCCGAGCAGCTCAGGGGCCAAGCCTGCGCTGGGAAGTGTGTATGCAGACCTGGGCACCCTGCCACTGAAAAGGGAGCCAGTCTGGATGGCCCAGAACGGCCCTGCCAGCCTTAAGACCCTAGAACTGTCAACCACCAGAGGCATTTGCATCCAGGCCAAAGATCCTGCCTCAAATACCCAGCCCGGAGGCCACTTCCCTTCCCAACAGTCCCTCCTTCGTCCCCCACCAAGCTGAAGCTGACGCTGTCTCAGTGGGCCCTCCACAGACAGCCCATCTCAGCCACCTGGATAAGCCAGACCTGGGGACCATCCCACTCCATGAGAAAAATCTAGATCTACTTACTGAAAGTTGAGGGTGTTGGAATAGAGGTGCAGAGCGGCCCGGTTACTGCAGGGGAATAAGGCACTGCTGAGCTGTACAGACGAGGCCAGGCAGGGACAGCACGTCCAGGTCCTGCCCCTCCTCCCGGTCCCCCTCCCCACTAAGCCCACTTCCCGATCTTCTCCAAAAGCCAAGGCAGCCCAGGATCCACATCGAGGCAGTATCCCCGCTGGTGGTGGTGGGATGAATTGGGAGATTGGGATTGACATATATACACGAATATGTATAAAATAGATAACTGATAAGAACCTGCTGTATAAAAATAAATAAAATAAAATTCAAAAAAGACCCAACAAAACAGACAGTATCCCCCTACCCACCCCCCTTCCCTCGGCCCTGGCTTCCACCTCTTCCTGACATGCAGGGAGACGTATTTGGCATTGAAGTTCTCGATCATGGCTCGGGAGGCCTGGTCCATCAGCTTCTGAGCCAGGCCAAGGCGCCGGTGGGAACGCTTCACAGCCTGGTGGGAGAAAGGTGGGACCTCGGGGCGGCTCCAACTAACTTCCGCCCCCGCCCCCACCAGACCCTGGGTGGGCCCTACGCACCAGCGAGGTGATGTGTCCATGGGGCACGTCGTCCGGGTCCTCTTCCCTAGAGCAAGAAGAAAGGAGAGGGGCTAGGCGTGAACCCCAAAGTGTGTCCAGTCCCGGGACAGGGGAGAGCCAGGACTCTCCAAACCCCAGGCAGCAGCCAAAAGACATGTGCAGCGTCAATGGAATACTGTTCAGTGCTAAAAAGAAAGGAGCTCTCGGGCTTCCCTGGTGGTGCAGTGGTTGAGAGTCCGCCTGCCGATGCAGGGGACACGGGTTCGTGCCCCGGTCCGGGAGGATCCCACATGCCGCGGAGCGGCTGGGCCCGTGGGCCATGGCCGCTGAGCCTGCGCGTCCGGAGCCTGTGCTCCGCAACGGGAGAGGCCACAACAGTGAGAGGCCCGCGTACCGCAAAAAAAAAAAAACAAAAAAAACCCACAAAACTCTCAAGCCATGAAAAGATGTGGGGGGAGAGACTTCAATGCATATGACTAAGTGAAAGGTGGTCTGAAATGGCTACACGCTACATGATCCTAATCATATGGCCTTCTGGAGAAGGCGAAAGTGTGGAGACAGTAAAGAGATCAGTGGTTCCCGGGGAGAGGGGAGGGAGGGAGGGCGGGCAGTGAAACTGCTCTGTTTGATACGATAGTGTCGGATACTTGTTATACCTTTGTCCATGGAGTGTAGAACTACTACTCAAAGAGTAAAACAATGTAACTATGGGTTTCTGCAATAATGTAACAGCATCGGTTCACCCATTGTAACAAATTTGCCACAAGCTGTTAATGTGAGAGGAAACTGAACTAAAGGAACAGTCTATTAATTAACAAAACGAAACAAAAAAACCCAACCCAACCCAGGCAGCATCCATCAGACGCGTGCGGTGTCGGTGTCCCTCCTCCCCCCACCCCCAGGTCAGGCACCAGGCTTGTCCCTCCGTCCTTGGTGACTCACATTTTGGCCAGGACATACCCCACAATCTTCCCATTCTCATCCTCAGCGATGTAAGAGAGCTGGGTGACAGGGAGGAAAGAGAAGGCAGAAAACAAGTTCCTGTCAGAGCTGGAGGCGCCCTTATCGGACACCTGGCCCCAGCGCCTGCCTGTCGCTGTGTGCATGACAGACAGAAGCCCATCGGGCAGCGAGTTCAGTGACAGCTCCTGACCTCCAGGCCAAGTGGCTTGGTTTTCCCACATCACACCGCGCCCCCTTTCCTTAACCCAGAAGAAGTGGATAGACACAGGTGGGAATACTGCCCCTACCTTGGCCCTGTTCTTCGCCCCTCTTCATAGGCGCCTCCTATCCATCTCCCGCCACCCCAGCCGGAAACACTCAGGGCCTCATTGACCCATGCGCCCCCCGGACTCTTCACGACCTTGCGCGACCTCGCCGGCTCGTCCCAAGCCGACCCAGGGTGGAATTTCCTTGGCCTGGTTTCCCTCATCCCCAAATTCAACAGCTGCCCACCTGGGGCCAGGAAAGGCCATGGTAGAAATAATATTTCATCTGGTAGTTCTCGGGCAGGCACAGGAGGTTGCAGTGCTGCATGTTCATCAGGTCCTCTGGCTGCGGGAGAGGACGGCAGTGGAATGCAGTCAGGCCGGGGGTTGCGGTGACTAAGTAGGCCTCGGTCGTGTTAGAACCCTGCTCTGTCTACTCAGCGACCCCCGCCCCCCAACAGGGCTGGGCGGGCGCTGGGACTATCTGTCTCCGCACAGGCCTGGCCCACAGCCGCTGTGCAAAAACTGACTGTTCCAGGAATGAACGTTGAGCTCCAGTTAGCTCCCCGACACCATCCAACGGAAACCCGACATCCGGAAAGAAGGAGTTCGCAGCCCCGGCCCTGCGCCCCTGGCTCCCCCGGCCTCCTCTTCGGGTAGATCCAGCCCCACGGGGACGTGGCCTTCACTTTTCCGCGCCGGGCGGCCGAGGGCGCCCAGGGCGGCTGGCCCGGTGATCGGCCGGGCCCATCGGGAGCACGCGCACGCGGCCACCGGGCCCCGCTCCCACGCGGCGCGGACAGCCTCCGGCCCCGGCCCCTCACCCTCGCATTGCGGATGTTCATAACGGCGGCGGGGCTCGCGGCTCCCAGCGGGTCGTGAACGCGCAGTCAGCTGCCACCGCGCTCCGAAGCGACGCCGGGGCTGCCAGGCCGGGGCTGGGGCTGGGGCTGGGGCTGGGGCTGGGGCTGGATCTGGATCTGGATCTGGATCTGGATCTGGGTCCAGGATCGCGGGGACGGCGGCGGAAGAGGAGGCGCGCGCCGGGCCCGGCCACCGGCCGGAAGTGCGCGCCGCCGAGCCCGCCCGCCGGGCCCGCCCTCCCGGCCGCTCGGCCATGCGCAGGGAGGGCCAAGGGCGGGGTGGGGCCTCTCCGCGGGGCGGGCCGGGCCAATGGCCGGGCGGGCCCCGGCGCGGGGCGGGCCTGTTGGCAGGGTGGGAGGGTCCAGCGCGCGGGTCAGGTCACTGGCAGGGCGAGCAGGTGCCCTCCAGCCAAAGGCGGCGGTTGGTCCCCCACCCGACACCCCACAGACGCTCACACACACGGGCAGTGGAGCAGGCTTGGCTTTATTCTGCGCCTCGGCGGGCGGGGTCGGCGGGCGGAGACCGGGCGCTGAGGGCCGGGGCCGAGGCCGGGGCGAGGCGGCTCAGCAGGTCACTCAGCATCTCCTCGCACATGGCGAGGCACCGCGGCACGTGGAAGCAGCCTGCGGGGAGAGGCGGGACGGCGGGTTGGGAGGGCCGTGGGCAGCCGAGTGCCCCGAGCCCCTGGGCCCCGCCCTTTCCCCCGCTCACCTTTGAAAGGACCCCCCTTGATGGTGAGGGCGATCTTCCCTTCTCGGTTCAGGTAGCCAAACCATTCCCCGTACTCGGGATCGCGAAACTGCAATAACAATGAGGCAGTGACAGGCAGCGCCTGCAGGAACCGCCCAGATGCCACAGGCCTGGGAAAGGGGCGTTCACCGGTCCCACTAAACCGCTACCTCGGGGTCAGAGCCCGGGCTGACCCCCGGCTCCAGAATCAGTGCTCTTAAATGAGGTCCCGCCTCCTGGACAAATATGAAAGCAAGGGGTTTTTCCTTTTCCTTTTTCTTGGGGGGGGGTGGAGTTTTGAGTCTGCAGCTGGTTACCCCACCTGGGGAAGGGGCCGCAGGCTGTGAGATGAAACCTTGCAAGATGGAATTTAAAACAAAAACAAAAACCCTGCTTGGGACTACTGAGCTTGCGCTCTAGAGCCCGTGCGCCACAAATACCGAAGCCCGCGCGCCTAGAGCCCGTGCTCCGCAACAAGAGTAGCTACCGACCGCAGTGAGAAGTCCGCGCGCAGCAACAAAGACCCAGCGCAGCCAAAAGTAAATAAATATAATTTAAAAAAATAACAATGTAAAAAGAAACGGAACCCTGAGGAAGTGCTGACCTGCCATGTAACTTTGTAACAAGTTATTCCTTTGGAGCTCCTGTTCCCTGCTTCAGATGACTGTCTTGCCGTGGATGAGACTGTAGATAGCGCTACATTGTAGATATCCCGTACAGAGGTCTGACTTCTCCCTTGCTCACCACAGGTCCCAAACACATCTCCCCCTCCCTCGGAGCCACCTGAAGCCTGCCCCTGCCCAGCAGCTCTGTTGACCCTTTCCAAATTCCTCGCTTCTCTCCTGCCCAGTTCCTTCCTGACGCTCCAGGATAGACCTCAGAGCCCTGGCCTAGGCCCCTCCTCCCCAGATAGAGACCCGAGTGGAACCCCTTCTCAGAAGGACCATAGAAGAAATCAGTGACATTGAAGTCCACTACCAAAGATGTCTTTTTAAATGGGGACCTATGAGTAGGTGTATTCTTCATAGGAGGGAAAACTAGTTCTGTATCTGTCCATTCTGTCTTTCCAGTGACATTACCCATGTCCTTACTTATTATTTGACTACTGGATATGACGCGGGAAGATAACAAAGGATTTGACTGTTTTCCTGTCCAGCCTTTCCATGGATGTCTGAATTTTTGCTTTCTGTATTGTTATGACGATTAGTGCATAGTGAATTACCTGTTGTTTATAACTTTTGTGATTGTTCGATACAATCTCTCTTTCTTGAAAATGTATTCCTTAAATTTCACTTTATGCAGTTAAGAGCGATCACCTCGAACACATGTTCTCTATGAATGCATTCAATATTAACATGTATCGCCTCTGGTCTTGTGGCTCCCGTGTTTGGAAGCAGTGACGAGCGTGTGCAGTACTTGGAGCTGCCTCTCTAACCACAGCATAACACGAGCACATCTGGAATTTCTACTGGTGACAAAGTCGGACACTGCTAATACTGTGGTTCACTGCTTTCATTCATGATGGACGTGAATGCTGGATTTCAGTTAGAGGTTAGTGCAAATAAAGGTGGAATTTTCTCTCAGGTTTCAAAGCCCACAGACCTCAGAATGAGACCCCCCTGTTGTAACGCCTCCCGTACTGGGGTTTACTAATGGAGTGAGTCGTGGCTTTAGAAACACATCGGGAATCTGCCTTCATTCCCCGTCAGGCTCAGCACCCGAGGTGCCCGTCGGCAGCAGCTGGCACAGCTCATCACTCTGCTCACGGCACTCGGGCCTCTGCGGGGGGGCGGGGGGGCTGGCTTCCTTCCTACCTCGCAGATGATTCTCTCTCCTTTGCTGGGCCTGCCTATTCCCTCTTCTCCTTTCCTTCTGTACTCCAAGGTTACCTTGCCTCACGTGGCCAGCCCACACCTCTCCCGCTCGACCACACTCTCACCCCTGAGCCGCTGCAGCTCCCACCCCGGGCCAGGCCCCCACTCACTAGCCAGGATGACAGCCACAGCCCGGTCTCCCTGCCTTCGCCTAGTGCCCTCTGGCCTCCCCTCCTGAAGCCCCAGCTTTTTTCCTTCCCACTAGCCCCCCAGTCCCCTGACCTTGCTTTATTTCCCAGAGCTCTCATCACCATCTGTGTTTGCTGGTTTACTTGTTTATAGTCGGTCCCACCAGCACCAAATGTAAGCTCCAGTGGGGCAGGGGCCACTCTCTTGACTGAACAGAGGGCACCAGGGCCGGGACTTCCAGGAACTCTCAGACCTACTGAGGGAACACGTCCAGCGAGGGGGGGAAGGAGGGGGTGTGCCGTGCCTGCGGTCTCCTCCACACCGCTGAGACCAGGAAGCAGCACTTACCTGGCGGAAAGTGTACTCGGCCACCTGGTAGAAGATGTTCAGCAAGGCGGAGTCCCCGCTCTCACTGTAGCCCATGAGGAAGGCGATCATGGCTTCACTGTGCGGCCACCAGAGCTTCATGGCCCACTCCAGCTGAGAGCAGAGCGGAGGCAGGCATCTGAGAGCCCTGGACCCCACTCCACCACCCCTGTCAGCAGGAGAGTCACCCCCATCTTTCGGGCCCTGGCTCAGACTCCATCTGGCCCAAGCTCTTAGAGCTTAACCACGGGACGAACGTCTCTGGGGGCCTTAACCGCCCATCAGATCGCGACTAGCTTCCTGAGCCAGATGTAGCCCAAGTGGCCCCTCCCAAAGGGCAGGGCTGGGGTGGGTGCCCCTTGAGCCCTGGAATCGAAACCCCGGCTGCTCCCACTGCTGATGCCTTAGGGTCACTCAGAGAGCCTTTCCAAGATGAAGGGCCATGTGTCTCCGCGTGGGCATGGCCTGCACTCCCTCACGGCCTCCCTGTGCATGTGAGCTTGAGGGCCACCGGCACAGGAGTTGAGCTTCCCACTGGGGTCACACTGGGCAGGTTCACTCCTCCGAGCCCCGGGTCCCCCTCTCTGAAATGGGTGACGACAGCACGCACCTCCCTGGGCAGAAAGCCTTCGACAGGCGAGTACCATGTAGCCCTGGGTACATTCCCACCTGGGTGGGGCATAGGCCGTCAGCATCCTGGAAGTAGAAGAGACCTCCATGGTCGGGATCCCATCCAGAGCGGAAAGGCAACAATAGGAACTTGTCGATAACGTGGGCTCGAAGTTTGGGGTCACCTCTCCGGACGGCGTGACGGAGCAGGAACCAGCCAGCTTCCAGCGCGTGGCCTGGTGAGGGCTCGGGTAAGGCAGGCCGCGTGTCCTCCCCCAGGCGGGGGGCTCAAGCGCTGTGCTGACCGCTGACTCCCTTCCTCTCTGCCCCACTGTGGGGCCTGCTTTGAGCCCCCCAGCCCTGCCGGTCTGCCCCAGAATCACCCTCCTGCTGCTGACACGCCAGCGTGGGAGGCCCGTCCCTCCTCCCCTGCCTGGTCCTCGGTGCGCTGAGGGCGGAGGGAGGAGGGCACTCCCTGCATCTGGAGTCCAGAACCAAGGCTGAGCGCCCCCCTCCTCCCGGGCCGCCCCCCAGCCCACCCCGCCCCTCACCTGGGTTCTGGTGTCTCCCCAGGCAGCCAGAAAGCCCCTCGCCATCCTCTGACACATTCTCCAGCACAGCCTGCCCACCCCTCTGCCGAGGGAGGAGTAGAAGGTAGCTTGGCCTTCAGCACCCCCTGACCCCCGCCCCATCATCCAACAAGAAAGACGCGCCCTCCCACGCCCCTCCCTCCTGATCTGCAGGCTTGGGTGGCCTCACTCGGAGGGCCTTTGGAGGAGGAGCCGATTCACTCCCAAGGGTCTGGACCTGTCCTAACCCTTGCTTTGGGCCTGGGCCCCTGACGTGGGGAGCGTAAGGCACTGAGCGGAGGCTGAGACCAGGGGGACTGGGCTGTGCAGAGGCCTGGGACGAAGTTGAGTCCAGCCAGGCTTCCTGCTCCCTGACGTGCCTGGGGCTCTGGCACCCACCCCGGCTCCCCCGGGGCCCTCCTTCCCTTCCCGAGGGCTCTGGGCCGCACCTCGCCCCATCTCCCCAGTCTGTAAAGGGGGCCATCGGCGCCCGGCTCCGGGGGTGGGTGCGGGCGGAGGAGGCGCCCCGGGGGGTGGGGCGTAGGGGGTCGCCCTGCCCCCCAGCTCCCCAGGCCCTGTCTGGCGGCCGCCGTCCACCCGCTGCCCTGCCCCCACCTGCACGTGCCGCAGAATCCTCCGAGCGCACCAGTCCCCCAGCTCCGCGTAGCTGCCCGCCAGCTTGTCGTCGGCCTCCCCGAGCTGCTCCACCAGGCTGAGCAGCATCATGGGCACCGCCATGGACTCCGCGGCCGGGGCCCCAGGGAGCTGGGGCCGGCCCAGCCCAGAGGGGTCCTCCCGCACCCAGTGCACGATCTGATCCATCATCTCCACCGCTTCGCTCTGGGGAGGGATGAGGGGAGGCCCAGGCTGAGGCTGCATCCCATCTAGGCTGGTACCCCAGGTGCTGACCTGCTGGGTCCCCAGCCCTGGGGTGAGAGAACCATGTGCTCCCAGCCACTCATAGGACACCTTCACCAAGGCCTACTCTGGGCCTGGC